ACAACACATGCACTGTACAACGCTGTAGACTCTAGTTACTCCTCGCCTGCCACTGCTGCTCTAGGCCGCCTGCTTCTGCCCTACCTGTTCCCCGAGCTGTCAGCCTTTGCCACGGTAAAGGACCTGGTTTCCCACCTGAACACTAGCGACGCTCGCTACCGCGCTGCTGTCCCTGCTGAGTTCCTTGAAAGGAACCCGCCCCCGATGTTCATCACCCTCTACTTCATAGTCACTCGCCTCCCTGACTCTCTTCGCTCTGTCAGGGACCACTTTCTCTCTCTTGACCCCACCTCCCTCACTGTTGACCTACTCGAGCAGCACCTTCTTGCAGCTGAGACTAGTGCAGTTGCTGTAGGTGCTGCTCATGGCACTCCGCGCCCGCACTTCTTTGAGGGGTGCTCCCCCCCCCCCCCCCTTGCCCCCTCCTACACCTCTGCTGCTGCTGCTGCAGACGTCTTTGTTGCTGAGGACGTCGGGGCTGCTTTTGCTAGCACGAAGCGCCGCAGCAGCAAGAGAAAGGGTGGCAGGGGTAGTGGAAGTGGCAGCGGTAGTGGTGGGGGTAGAAGTGGAGGTGGTGGAGGCAGTGGAGGTGTTGGCGGTGGTGGGACTGGTGGCGGGGGTGGGGGCTCTGGTGGCGGCGTTGGAGGCAGCGGTGGGAGTGGCGGCAGTGGCGGCGGTGGGACTGGTGGCGGTAGGACTGGAGCTCGGCGTGGCGGTTCTGGAGGTGGCCAGCGGCAGCAGCGTCGGAGCGAGACCAGGTCGCACCAGCAACTTCGTGAGTGGTTGAAAAAAAAACGTGGGACGTCTGGGGAGAATGGGGGAGGCTTCACACTCAGCACCGCTGCTTCTCCCGCCTTGACGACGCTTGGCGTGCTGAGTTTGGTGACGAGGTTGAGCGCCCTCGCTGGGCAGATCTATTAAGGTCTGGAGTTGCTATCTTTGACCTAGACTTTGATGTTATCCTTTATGCTATGTATACTTTGTCTGTTAGTGCTGAGGGTGACTGTTACCTGTGTGTGCCACCTGACCCAGGTATAGCGGCTACTGCTCTAGGTGCTAGTGAATCTGGTACTCTCCCTGGTATTGCGCCTGCTGAGGCCTTGCACACCTTCACACTGGACTCAGGTGCCTCACACTTTTTTCTTTCGTGACAGCACCACCCTCACTCCTCTCTCTGCACCTGTTCCGGTCCGACTGGCTGACCCCTCCGGGGGCCCGGTCGTTGCCCGCTCCTCCACTGTTCTCCCGTTTCCGGCGGTTCTGTCTAGCTCATTGTCAGGTCTTCACCTCCCCTCGTTCTCTACGAACTTGGTGAGTACAGCTGCCCTCCAGGATTCGATGGTCACTACCACCACTCCTGGGGGTCAGCGGATGTTGATCTGCATGTGTACACGGACGGGCCGTCACCTGGCCACGTTCATTCATCGGCCAGGGTCAAGTCTGTACACACTAGCTACCGAGTCTCCCCAGGTAGCTGCGTCTGCCCAGGTCTCTGCGTCAGTTCAGGTAGCACCCCCTTGCTCGTGTCGCCTCCTGTCGCACCAGACTCTTCTCTGGCACCACCGCCTTGGTCACCCCTCCCTGCCACGCCTGCGTGGCATGCACTCCCGTCTCCTTATCTCTGGTCTTCCCAGGTCTTTGCCTCCCCTCCCACCCTCGCTTGCTCCGCCCTTGCGTCGAGGGGCGGCAGCACACCGCTCCTCACTCCTCCTCATTTCCCCCGACGACTGCTCCCCTGCAGACTCTCCACATGGACGTGTGGGGCTGCGCCCGCGTTAATGGATAGGGCCGCGAGCGCTACTTTCTGCTGGTTGTTGACGACTACACGCGTTACACCACGATCTTCCCCTTGCGCAGCAAGGGTGAGGTCCCTTACGTTATGATCCCTTGGATCCGCGCTGTCCGTCTCCAGCTCCACGAGCGCTTCGGCTAGGACCTTCCTGTCCTGCGTTTGCACTCTGACAGAGGTGGTGAGTTCTCCTCCGACCTCTTGCGAGACTTTTGTCATGGGGAGGGCATCACCCAATCGTTCACGCTTCCGGCCTCTCCACAGCAGCATGGGATTGCTGAGCGTCGCATTGGATTAGTCATGGAGGTCGCTCGTACCTCCATGATCCATGCGGCTGCTCCCCATTTTCTGTGGCCGTTTGCGGTCCGGTATGCTGCGCATCAGCTCAACCTCTGGCCCCGTGTCTCCTTGCCGGAGACCTCGCCCACACTGCGTTGGACGGGGGAGGTTGGCGATGCGTCGGTGTTCCGGGTCTGGGGTTCTCGTGCCTTTGTTCGCGATACGTCCGCGGACAAGCTCTCCACCCGTGCTATCCCCTGCGTCTTCCTTGGCTTTGTCCGTGACGCGCCTGGCTGGCAGTTTTACCAACCCACCTCGCGCCGTGTCTTCCCTTCTCAGGACGTCACGTTTGATGAGTCGGTTCCCTTTTACCGTCTCTTCCCCTACCGCTCTGCCCCTCCCCCGCCCCCGCCGCTCTTCCTTGCTCTTGGTCCCCCTCCGGTAGACCCCCTCCCCCCCCAGGGTCCTGATCCCTCAGGTGTGTCTTAGGTAGACCCTCTCCCTGGTCCTACGCCTGTTGAGGTAGCTGTCGGCTCAGGTGCTGTTCCAGGTGCTGCGTCTGGGGGTGCTGCGTCTAGGGGTGCGGAGCAGGGGGGTGCGGAGTCTGAGGGTGCTGGGTCTGGGGGTGCTGAGCCTGGGGGTGAGGAGCCTGGGGGTGCTGAGCCTGAGGGTGTTGAGCCTGGGGTTGCTGAGTCGGAGGGTGCAGAGTCTGGAGGTGCTGAGCCTCAGGGTGCTGCTTTGTTTGGAGGTCTTGCTGGTGCTTCGCCGAGACTGTCTCCGCAGCAGCTGCGTGAGTGGCTTGTTCGGCGAGCACGCCTTGGGAGTGGAGCCACTGGAGCTGGAGGCACTGGAGACGCTGGAGCTGGAGGTGCTGGAGTTACTGCTGGAGCTGGTGGTACTGGAGGTGCTGTGGCTGCTGGTCCTGGAGGTGCTCGTACCAGGGGTACTGGAGCTGTCAGGACTGGTGGTGTTGGGGGCGCTGGAGCTGGAGACCCTGCGGAGCCTGGAGCTGCTGGAGCTGGAGGCTCTAGCGCTGGTGGCGCTGGAGCTGGAGCTGGTGGCACTGGCGTTGGAGGTGCTGGAGCTGGAGGAGCTGGAGTTGGAGGCACTGGCGCTGGAGTTGGAGGCTTTGGCGCGGGAGGCGCTGGAGCTGGAGATGCTAGAGCTGTTTACCCTGGAGGCATTGTACGGCCGCGACCGTACTTCGTTCCCCTGCTTTAGCAGGTTCTTGGTGTCCTATCTTCTACTATCCTTACTCCTCCCCTCCTGTGTCCACCGTCTGACCAGTCGCAGCTGCCGTTACCACTGGCCTCCCCACTGCTTGCTCCTTCTCCTTACACTGAGCAGTCCGGTGGTCTTACAGAGCGTCGTGAGCCTGCGTTTCGTCCTGTCTCTCCTGTTTGCACTGCCCGTTGCGGTCCTTGTTCGCGTCCTCCTCCTGTCCCCGGCCCACACGCTATGGCACTTCGTCCTTCCTCTATTCCACTGTGTGTTCCTCTGCCTGCTCCTCCTGAGTCCTCTCTTCCTGTGGTCCCTGACCCTGATTTTGACCGCGCTCGTGCTACCAGTCCCGCTGTCTCTTGTCTTCAAGGCGCGTTACGTTGCTCGAGGCTTCAGGTTGTGACAGGGGGTTGACTACTTCCATAACTTCTCCCCCACCCCAAAGATGACTACTCTTCGGGTGTTGCTGCACGTCGCTGCTCAGCTTGACTACGAGTTGCACTCTCTGGACTTCAGCACAACCTTCCTACAGGGCTGCTTGCACGAGGAGATGTGGCTGCGCCGCCCACCTGGCTTTACCGGGTCGTTTCCTGCAGGTACCCAGTGGAGCCTCCACCGGCCAGTCTACGGTCTCCGCGAGGCGCCTCGCGAGTGGCACGACACACTGAGGACTACACTTGCGGCTCTTGGGTTTGCTCCTTCTACTGCTGACCCGTCTCTATTTCTACGAACTGACACTTCTCTGCCGCCGTTCTACGTCCTCGTGTACGCTGACGACTTGGTCTTTGCCACTGATGACACTGAGGCACTGATCCTTGTGAAGTTGGATCTGCAGAAGAGACACACGTGCACTGACCTGGGTGAACTGCGCAGCTATCTTGGCTTGCAGATCACCCGGGACAGAGCACGGCGCACCATTACCCTGACTCAGTCACACATGGTGCACCACGTCCTTCAACGCTTCGGCTTCCAGTTCTCCTTGCCACAGCCCACGCCTCTATCTATCAGAATCATAGGTGAAAAGAGGCTTAGGAGAAACCGTAGCCAAGGTGAGTGTCGAGAGAAAAGTCGAGAAGGGAATGATGGCATTAGGTCATGAGGAGGGTACAAGTATAATGTCGAGAGTAATCTTGTACCCCCTAAGGCTAAACCCACTACTACCTAAGTAATCATAAGCACATATGTTTTGACACACCCCCATAGGCGAAGTGGGGGATAGCCATGGCAAGCAATGGTCATAAGACCAGTTAAGAGAATAAGCAAATCAAAGCAAAGCTCAGGGTGGATCTCAAGATCACCACGCACTCTGAGCACTAGCAAGCGGCCACAAGGCCAGTCCAAGAGGTTACATAAGATATATAGGTGCGAGTACAAGCAGAGCAAGGCTACGGCAGACGAGCAAAAAGTCAACAAGCCACCACCTCACCCTCCCCCCACAGTGGCACGCGCGGCCGTGAGAAAGAGGAGGAGGCGTGGCGACATTTGCTGCAGTTGTGTCACCCACCACCCACATCCCCTGAGCCTCCCCACCACTTCACACTCCCCCACACAGCAGCAGGTGTGGCTGTGAGAGAGGAGGCAGACTGGCGCTATAGGTGCAACCTCCCCCTCACCCCCTCCCCTCCCCTCCCCCCCCTTCCCACCTAAAAAGCTGCACGTGCAGCAGAGAGAGGGAGGAGAAGGGGGGGGGGGGGGGGGGTAGGGGCTGTGCATGGGGCTGCAGATGCGCGTGCAGAGGGCAGCAGGGCGCACGGGGCGCACAGGGCAGCAGGGCGCGCGGGGCGCGCAGGACAACAGGGCGCGCGTGGCACGCAGTGCTGCAGGGCGCGCGGGGCGCGCAGGGCAGCAGGGCAGCAGGACGCGCGGGGCACGCAGGACAGCAGGGCGTGCGGGGCGCGCAGGGCTGCAGGGTGCGCGTGGCGCGCAGGGCTGCAGGGCGCGCAGGGCAGCAGGACAGCAGGGCGCGCGTGGCGCGCAATGCTGCAGGGCGCGCGGGGCGCACAGGGCAGCAGGAAGGGGGTGCAAGGGGCACTCACGAGGGAGTGCAAGGGGCACTCACAAGGGGGTGCAAGGGGCACTCACGAGGGGGTGCGAGGGGCACCCACAAGGAGGTGCGAGGGGCACTCACGAGGGGGTGCAAGGGGCACTCACGAGGGGGTGCGAGGGGCACCCACGAGGGGGTGCGAGGGGCACTCACGAGGGGGTGCAAGGGGCACTCACGAGGGGGTGCGAGGGGCACCCACGAGGGGGTGCGAGGGGCACTCACGAGGGGGTGCAAGAGGCACTCACGAGGGGGTGCGAGGGGCACCCACGAGGGGGTGCAAGGGGCACTCACGAGGGGGTGCAAGGGGCACTCACGAGGGGGTGCGAGGGGCACCTACGAGGGGGTGCGAGGGGCACTCACGAGGGGGTGCAAGGGGCACTCACGAGGGGGTGCAGAGGGCACTCACGAGGGGGTGCGAGGGGCACCTACGAGGGGGTGCGATGGGCACCCACGACGGGGTGCAAGGGGCACTCACGAGGGGGTGCGAGGGGCACCCACAAGGGGGTGCGAGGGGCACTCACGAGGGGGTGCAAGAGGCACTCACGAGGGGGTGCAAAGGGCACTCACGAGGGGGTGCGAGGGGCACCCACGAGGGGGTGCAAGGGGCACTCACGAGGGGGTGCGAGGGGCACCCACGAGGGGGTGCGAGGGGCACTCACGAGGGGGTGCAAGAGGCACTCACGAGGGGGTGCAAGGGGCACTCAGATACCCTCCTCCCACTGCTGCACCCGCAGCAGGGGGATGGAGGAGAAGGTGGGGGGGGGGGGGGCTGGGACGGTGTAGAAGCTGCTCGGGCAACAGCAGGGCGCGCGTCGGGCAGGAACCCGTCATTCGCCACCCCCATACCCTCCCCCCCCCTGCTGTACGATCAGCAGGGGGACGGAGGAGAAGGGGGGGGGGGGGGGGCAAGGGGGCGGTGCAGGGGCTGCGTGGGCGTCCGCAGGTCGTACGAAAAACATCCGCCACCCCCTCACACCCTCTCCCCCACTCCCCCACAGCAGCAGGCGCAGCCGTGAGAGGGGAGGAGACGTGGCAGCAGCTGCTGCTGCTGAGGCACATCCGCCACCCCCTCACACCCTCTCCCCGGAGCAGCGGGCGCGGCCATGAGTGAGGAGGAGGCGTGGCGGCAGCTGCTGCTGCTGAGGCACATCCGCCACCCCCTCACACCCTCTCCCCCCCTCCCCATGGGGGGGGGGGGAGGGGGGGGAGGGGGGCGTGGGCGGGGAATGAGCTGCGCGTGCGACTGCAGGGCGCGCGATGGGCAGGGACCCGTCGTTCACCACCCCCGCCACCCCCATACCCTCCCCCCCCCCTGCTGTACGATCAGCAGGGGGACGGAGGAGAAGGGGGGGGGGGGGGGGGGGGGGGCGGGGGGGGGGCGGTGCAGGGGCTGCGTGGGTGACCGCAGGTCGCACGAAAAACATCCGCCACCCCCTCACACCCTCTCCCCCACTCCCCCCCATAGCAGCAGGCGCAGATCCCCTCCCCACCCACTGCTGCACCCGCAGCAGGGGGATGGAGGAGAAGGGGGGGGGGGGGCGGGGGGGCTGGTGCTGCAGATCCCCTCCCCCCCCACTGCTGCACCCGCAGCAGGGGGATGGAGGAGAAGGGGGGGCGGGGGGGGCTGGTGCTGCAGATCCCCCCCCCCCCCTTTGCTGCACCCGCAGCAGGGGGATGGAGGAGAAAGGGGGGGCTGGGGGGGGGGCGGTGTAGGAGCCGCTCGGGCGACAGCAGGGCGCGCGACGGGCAGGAACCCGTCGTGCACCACACCCGCCACCCCCATACCCTCCCCCCACTGCTGCACGGGCAGCAGGGGGATGGAGAAGAATGGGGGGGGGGGGGGGGGGGGGGTGGCTGCTAGCTTGGTGACGAAGCAGAGCAGCGGGGCGCTGGAGGTGCAACCCCCCCCCAACACCGCTCCTGCGTCCCCCAAGCACCCTCCCCCCCCATTTCCCCCGCCCAAACTGCTGCACGCGAGGTAGGACGGGCGCGAGCGTCGGGCTGTGGGCCGGAGCCTAGGGGCGACGGGGCCGACGGGGCGTTGGGCGACGGGCCGGGCCTAGGGGAGCGACGGGCGACGGGGCCGATGGGCCTAGGCGCGGCGGGCGCGAGCGACGGGCCGGGGAGGGGGCCGGATCCTAGGGGCGACGGGCCTAGGGGCGACGCGCGACGGGCCACGGACCGGAACCGGGGCCTAGGGGCGTCGGGCGCGAGCGACGGGCGACGGGGCCGAGGCCTAGGGGCTACGGGCCGAGGGGTGACGGGCCTAGGAGCGACGGGGCCGGGGCCTAGGGGCGACGGGCCGAGGGGCGACGGGCCTAGGGGCGACGGGCGCGAGCGACAGGCCAGGGCCGAGAGCTAGGGGTGACGGGCGCGAGCGACGGGCCGGGGCCGAGAGCTAGGGGCGACGGGCCGGGGCATAGGGGCTACGGACGACGGGCCGTGCGGAACGTCGAGAGGAGGGCCACACGAGGGCGGTGCGCAGGGCAGCAGGTGGTGGGCCCAAGGGTCGTAACAGCTCTGATACCATATCATAATCATGGGTGAAACGAGGCTTAGGAGAAACCGTAGCCAAGTATAATGGCGAGAGAAAAGTCGAGAAGGGAATAATGGCATTAGGTAATGAGGGGGGTACAAGTATAATGTCGAGAGTAATCTTGTACCCCCTAAGGCTAAACCCACTACAGCCTAAGTAATCATAAGCACATATGTTTTGACACTGTCTACCAGCCACTCGCTCTCAACTCCACCTTCGGACGAGTCCGTAGAGCCGAGTGGTCCATACCCAGAGCTTGTGGGTTGCCTCATGTACCTGATGACGTGCACACGACCTGACCTCGCGTACCCTCTCAGCCTTCTGGCTCGCTACGTGGCTCCCGGTCGGCACCGAAAGGTGCACTGGGATGCTGCGAAGAGGGTACTGTGTTACTTGTGCAGTACGTCAGGCATGGGGCTCGTGCTTGGAGGACGGGGTCCAGTTGTCCTTACTGGTCACGCAGACGCTTCGTGGGTTGACGACTCAGCTACGCAGCGGTCGTCACAAGGTTACACCTTCAGCCTCGGTTCCGGCTCTGTTTCCTGGCGGTCTACCCGCTCGTCTTCGGTTCTCAGCTCTAGTTGTGAGGCTGAGATCTACGCAGGCACCATGGCTGCACAGGAGCTACGCTGGCTCACCTACCTGCTGACTAACTTGGGAGAGCAGCCTCGTTTGCCTCCAGTTCTGTACGTAGACAACAAGGCCATGATTGCCTTGTGTCAGGAGCACAGACTGGAGCACAGAACGAAGCACATCGCTCTGCGATAATTCCTTGCTCGAGAGTTGCAGCAGCGTGGCCAGCTTCGTCTTGCGTACGTGGCCACTCGGGCCAACACTGCTGATGTATTCACCAAGGCACTTCCGCCTGGTGATCATCAGCGTTTCTCTACTGTGTTAGGCCTTGTGCCTACTTTGCCTCACTTGCTCACTGCGTGACTTTGCTTGTACTGTGATCTTTATATATACCTGCATGCTTACACTTGCTAGGGTATGATCACTGTATTGTTTATTCTCTTTTATATAACTCTGCATGTGAACTGGCCTTGTGGCCCTTTTCTTGTGCTCGGACTGTGTGGTGACTTTGTGATCCACCCTGAGCTTGCTTTGTTTTTCTTGACTGGTCTTGTGACCACTTGTTCTCCCCCACTTTGCCTATGGGGGTGTGTTAGAATGTTATAGTGCTTACATTTGTGTAGGCTATAGTGGGGTAGCCCATAAGGGGTACAAACCAATTAGGGTTAGTACTTGTACCCAACTCTTTCATAGTTCATTCATTCTCATTCATTATTCTGACACAAGAGGAATTGATTGTAGCAAAGGGATACAAGGTTTTATTTGATTACAAGGAATACGAAGGGTTTAACTGTAATTGCTGTTGCAGTTCGAAACAGCGACGGCTCGGGTAATTGCTCAATAGCGAGTAAGTTATTTGTCCTTGCTGTCGCGCTGCCTTTGTCAAGTCAAAGGTCACTGACCTTTGACTTTCTCTTCAACCTCCTGCTATTGCCGCCTTGTCAACCGCTTTGCTTGACTCAGTGGTGCTTTGCTGTGAGTGTGATTCTTTTTTGTTGTAGAGTTCGATACTTCAGAAGCGTAAACTACATGTTTCCAATACTCCCCTTCGCTTCTGGAGTGTCATCGTCTTCGTTACTGGTGACGTGGCCCTGTCCAGTTAGCAGCATGCAGTACTCGAACATCTGTTTTCCAAGTTTCTTGGTCAGATAATCTACTGCCATCTCGGACGTGGGGCAGTAGGATAGCTCGAGTCTTCCTTTCTCGATATCGTCCTTCACGAAGAAGTAGCGCAGGGCAATGTGCTTCGTTCGGTTCGCGAACCCGCTCTTGTTTGCTATGCCTTCCCCCTTCCTCCATCCCCCATCCTCCATCCCCCTTCCCCCTTCCCCCTTCCCCCTTCCCCCTTCCCCCTTCCCCCTTCCCCCTTCCCCCTTCCTCCATCCCCCCTCCTCCATCCCCCTTCCCCCTTCCCCCTTCCCCCTTCCCCCTTCCCCCTTCCTCCATCCCCCATCCTCCATCCCCCTTCCCCCTTCCCCCATCCTCCATCCCCCATCCTCCATCCCCCATCCTCCATCCCCCTTCCCCCTTCCCCCTTCCCCCTTCCCCCTTCCCCCTTCCCCCTTCCCCCTTCCCCCTTCCTCCATCCCCCCTCCTCCATCCCCCTTCCCCCTTCCCCCTTCCCCCTTCCCCCTTCCTCCATCCCCCATCCTCCATCCCCCTTCCCCCTTCCCCCATCCTCCATCCCCCATCCTCCATCCCCCATCCTCCATCCCCCATCCTCCATCCCCCTTCCCCCTTCCCCCTTCCCCCTTCCCCCTTCCCCCTTCCCCCTTCCTCCATCCCCCCTCCTCCACCCCCCTTCCCCCTTCCCCCTTCCCCCTTCCCCCTTCCTCCATCCCCCATCCTCCATCCCCCTTCCCCCTTCCCCCATCCTCCATCCCCCATCCTCCATCCCCCATCCTCCATCCCCCTTCCCCCTTCCCCCTTCCCCCTTCCCCCTTCCCCCTTCCCCCTTCCCCCTTCCTCCATCCCCCCTCCTCCATGCCCCTTCCCCCTTCCCCCTTCCCCCTTCCCCCTTCCCCCTTCCTCCATCCCCCATCCTCCATCCCCCTTCCCCCTTCCCCCTTCCCCCTTCCCCCTTCCCCCTTCCCCCTTCCTCCATCCCCCATCCTCCATCCCCCTTCCCCCTTCCCCCTTCCCCCTTCCCCCTTCCCCCTTCCTCCATCCCCCATCCTCCATGCCCCTTCCCCCTTCCCCCTTCCCCCTTCCCCCTTCCCCCTTCCTCCATCCCCCATCCTCCATCCCCCTTCCCCCTTCCCCCTTCCCCCTTCCCCCTTCCCCCTTCCTCCATCCCCCCTCCTCCATCCCCCTTCCCCCTTCCCCCTTCCCCCTTCCCCCTTCCTCCATCCCCCATCCTCCATCCCCCTTCCCCCTTCCCCCATCCTCCATCCCCCATCCTCCATCCCCCATCCTCCATCCCCCTTCCCCCTTCCCCCTTCCCCCTTCCCCCTTCCCCCTTCCCCCTTCCCCCTTCCTCCATCCCCCCTCCTCCATCCCCCTTCCCCCTTCCCCCTTCCCCCTTCCCCCTTCCTCCATCCCCCATCCTCCATCCCCCTTCCCCCTTCCCCCTTCCCCCTTCCCCCTTCCCCCTTCCTCCATCCCCCCTCCTCCATCCCCCTTCCCCCTTCCCCCTTCCCCCTTCCCCCTTCCCCCTTCCTCCATCCCCCATCCTCCATCCCCCTTCCCCCTTCCCCCATCCTCCATCCCCCATCCTCCATCCCCCATCCTCCATCCCCCTTCCCCCTTCCCCTTCCCCCTTCCCCCTTCCCCCTTCCCCCTTCCCCCTTCCCCCTTCCCCCTTCCTCCATCCCCCCTCCTCCATCCCCCTTCCCCCTTCCCCCTTCCCCCTTCCCCCTTCCTCCATCCCCCATCCTCCATCCCCCTTCCCCCTTCCCCCTTCCCCCTTCCCCCTTCCCCCTTCCCCCTTCCCCCTTCCTCCATCCCCCCTCCTCCATCCCCCTTCCCCCTTCCACCTTCCCCCTTCCCCCTTCCCCCTTCCTCCATCCCCCATCCTCCATCCCCCTTCCCCCTTCCCCCATCCTCCATCCCCCATCCTCCATCCCCCATCCTCCATCCCCCTTCCCCCTTCCCCCTTCCCCCTTCCCCCTTCCCCCTTCCTCCATCCCCCATCCTCCATCCCCCTTCCCCCTTCCCCCTTCCCCCTTCCTCCATCCCCCATCTTCCATCCCCCTTCCCCCTTCCCCCTTCCCCCTTCCCCCTTCCCCCTTCCTCCATCCCCCATCCTCCATCCCCCTTCCCCCTTCCCCCATCCTCCATCCCCCATCCTCCATCCCCCATCCTCCATCCCCCTTCCCCCTTCCCCCTTCCCCCTTCCCCCTTCCCCCTTCCCCCTTCCCCCTTCCCCCTTCCTCCATCCCCCCTCCTCCATCCCCCTTCCCCCTTCCCCCTTCCCCCTTCCCCCTTCCTCCATCCCCCATCCTCCATCCCCCTTCCCCCTTCCCCCTTCCCCCTTCCCCCTTCCCCCTTCCCCCTTCCCCCTTCCCCCTTCCTCCATCCCCCCTCCTCCATCCCCCTTCCCCCTTCCCCCTTCCCCCTTCCCCCTTCCCCCTTCCTCCATCCCCCATCCTCCATCCCCCTTCCCCCTTCCCCCATCCTCCATCCCCCATCCTCTATCCCCCATCCTCCATCCCCCTTCCCCCTTCCCCCTTCCCCCTTCCCCCTTCCCCCTTCCTCCATCCCCCATCCTCCATCCCCCCTTCCCCCTTCCCCCTTCCCCCTTCCTCCATCCCCCATCCTCCATCCCCCTTCCCCCTTCCCCCTTCCCCCTTCCCCCTTCCCCCTTCCTCCATCCCCCATCCTCCATCCCCCTTCCCCCTTCCCCCTTCCCCCTTCCCCCTTCCCCCTTCCTCCATCCCCCCTCCTCCATCCCCCTTCCCCCTTCCCCCTTCCCCCTTCCCCCATCCTCCATCCCCCATCCTCCATCCCCCATCCTCCATCCCCCTTCCCCCTGCTCCTCCACCATGTCTCCTTCTCCGTGAGCCATCATCATGTGCTGCTTCCCTCATTCCATCGTACAACCTTCTCTCACACAACTCATTTCACGGAATGGTAAACTCTGATATCTAGCCCGTGCAATCTGCTAATATGAGCTGCAGGGTAATTTTTAAGGTTCTCTACCATCGCTGTGTCCATCGCTTTGACCATCGCTGTGACCATCTCTGTGTGTTCATCATCGCTGTGTGTGAGCAGGAGTTTGAGCCGATGACGCTCGTTTTCAACACTCAGGAGCCCCGGTGGGCAGGAATGCTTTCCTTCTTCCTGCGGCACGCCGCTCACACATCCCTTGATCTTCTTCTCAACAGCTCCCAAGATCTGAACAGCATCGGCCATCTCTTGCAGCTCTCTGCGCACTCCCTCACAAGCATGAGCCTTGGGCTCAAGGAGCCTCCCGGCGTAGTCGAGCCTGTTATTAAGGAAAGGTACCTGATAGATTCTGCCTTTCTCAAGAATTTTGAGCGGCTGCAGCGGCTGAAGCTAGGCCGCGGGACCTGGCAACTAGGCGACCTGGATCCAGTAAAATTCGGGGCTTTAAGGAGTCTGAGCATCCACGATTTCGAGTGCGAAGGGAATGATCTGTCCTTCCTTTCATCCCTCGCACCGCAGCTGCATGAAATCGCTCTTGCCTGCTCCACCCGTGGCTCTGGCTCTATCACCCTCGATTTCAAGCTCACCGCTGCTCGCACTATCGCAATCTGCTTCGAGAAACAAGCAGTCAACCTCTGCTTCACCCTGACTCCCTCTTTGAAGGCCTTCTCTGCCACTGCGACGTTTCTCAACGTGGATTGCACATGCAACAGCCCCCTCTCTCTCGACTCCTTTTCTCTCATTGGCCGCTCGCAGCTTCTCGTAACTTCGCTCCCATTGGCCTCCGCAAAATCCGTCTACTTGAACGGACCCACCGTTCGAGAATATCGCTGGCGTGCGTTTCCCTGTTCCGATCTCGAATCTCAGCGTACCGTGACCCAGCTGCTCAGTAGCATAGCGCCCACAGTGGAGTCGCTTATAGTGAGGTATGGCTGGCCTCTGGAGGGCGTGCGTGTGGAGTGGAGCCGCCTGCGTCGCCTTGCCGTTGGTATGAATCGCTATAGCTCTGGGGGGGTTAGTTACAAAGCTAAACCCGAGGATCCGGAAGATTCTAATTTTTGGAGGTGCTTTCGTGGGGAACAAAAGAGCAGCAGCAGCAGCAGCAGCCTGTTCATCAACGCTCTGAACCTGGAGTCTTTATTTTATAATGCCTCTCACTACCGGTACGAGTGGGAACCTGCACTTGCGGTTGCTTTGCGCAGGCAGTTCCCTTGTCTGGCGTTGTTCAGCATTGCTGCTCATCATTTATTCCGCTGGGAGCCGCAAGGATAGGAGCGGTGCAATGAGGTCACGTGGTGGCACGGGATGGCATGAGGTGAGGTGAGGTGGCACGGGATGGCAGGCATGAGGTGAGGTGGCACGGGATGGCAGGCATGAGGTGAGGTGACACGGTGTCTCTGCGATAGCCTGGGGTCACGACACATTCCCCGTGCCATGAGTTATGGCATGGTGCTGGCAGGATGATCGGATCAAATCAAATCAAATCAAATCAAATCAAATCAAATCATGAGTGTTTCTTTAAACCCTTTGAGAGACTCCGTGCTTCAAGGGGAGAAAGGGAGCAAGGTAGCTGGTAGTGCGGGAAACCAAGGTACACAGGTGTCAGGGAGGGCTGCAGGTGTGAGGGAGGTGTGTGCAGAGACGAGGCGCTATGTGGTGATAGCAGTGGTGTTTATGGTGATACCATGGGGTGGTGTGACCATGGGGCGTGGTGTGCACCTGTGTGGTGCATGCACAGTGCCTATGAGTGCCATCATTGGGCACCGCCCTCCGTGCTGCTGATGGGGCTGCCTGCTGTTTGTTGTCTGCTGCTGCCAGGGCACAGGGCTGCTGCTCCACCAGCTGGGCACAGTAAAGCAGAGGAGTTATTGAGGGCTGGTACGGTAGTTACAGTATGTATTAATGTTTTGTTCTGATGTGTTGTATTTATGCTTGTATTTGTGATTTGTATTTTAGGTTTTGTTTGTTTTTCTTCCCATTTGTTTCGCATATAATAGTGTTTTCCTACTCAGACCTTTTTGTTGGCGCATTCAATGATGCTTCTGTGTTCCAGATGTGTGCAGTGCAGATTTCACTCGCCTATGCAGTTCTCTGTAGAAAGGAAGGGAAGCAAGCACACATGTACGCTCGCTCGCTCCTTTGGTTGCTTCGCTAACACCCACGATGGCACGCAATGTGGTACTGAAAGAAGGCAGGGTTCTTGTAAGCATGTTGGCAGTACAAGTACATCCGATATGGACGGCATGTGAGATCCAGTTCAGATTCATGCACAAGGGTCGAGACTAGAAACTGCATTCGTAGCGAGTTGTCAGCGCAGCCATGCTGCTGCTGCTGCTGCTGCTGCTGCTGCTGCTGCTGCTGATGATGGTGTTGTTCTGCTGCTGCAGCTATGGAAGCTTCCGAATGAGCATAGGGAAGCAGAGGAAACGCACGATCAGCGCAAGACGTGTAGGCGTAGGAGGGGGGGAGGAGGGGTGGGGGAGAGGGGAGGGAATGGGAGAGGGGGAGGTTGGTTGGGCATGTAACATACGAAATGGCAGAGAAGGTGGATATACGGTAGGATAGTTGTGATCCCAAACCCACTCACTTTCCCATACAATCTTAGTTGAGAAGCAGTGTCACGAATGAGGGGATGCTAGAGGCTGTAAAAGCAGTATCACAAGTCCCCCAGACGCCTTTGTACTTCAACATGTAAGCCTCATCTGTATCAACGAGTTTTGAGTCGACCCAGACCTTGTACACACCAATAAGTGAATAAGCCTTTGTATGTCCCCCAGAGGCTGCCTTTGTACTTGAGCAAATAAGCCTCATCTTCATCAACACTGTACCCCTCCACCAGCTCCCTCTTCACACCGTGCATCTTCTCCCTCACATTCTTCGCCTGCCTCGCCCCAAAGCAGTTGCTCAACAAGCCGCTCCTCCCCTTCCTCACATGCACCACAGGGGTCCCAGCCAACTCCTTCCCCTGCTTCTCCCAGTAGAACGAACGACTGGCGATGCAGTACAGGGTGAGGGAGGGGCAGGATATGCGTAGGGAAGCGAGAGTTTGCTGCTCGCATGTGCGGGTGGGGAAGAATGTCGCTCGCAAGTTTGGAGCCTCGATAAGAAGGAGCTTTCCTGCTTGCTCCTCTTCTTCTTCCGCCTCCTCCTGCTCCTCCTGCCACCACCGTTGCTATGGACGTTGCTGCTGCTGCTGCAATAGCCTCTGCCTCTGGGTGCGCTCCTGAAACTCCTCCACTGTAACCTCCTCCTCACCATCATCCCGCCGCCTCTCAAAATACAGATCTCTCCCAAACCGCTCCTCCCTCTCCTCGACAATCCCAAGGCTGCGAAGGCAGCCCCACTCCGCGCCAACCTTCTCTACAGGCACCCCGTGCCTCACTATAAGCACCTCCACTGTCGGCGCTATAGCACCCAGCCACTCGACCCAGGAGAATTCAGAGAAGCTGCTGCGGTGCGAGCTTTGCCAGTCAGGGGGTGGCGCAGGGGTGGCCCAAGAGGAAGAATCTGTTTTTTGAGAGAAGTATTGGGCATCATCGCGGGAGTGCCTGTCGCTGGGAGGGCCGTTGAGGTAGGCCACTCGGGCCGATGCAAGGCGGAGGGAGGAGATGACGAGACGCTCCTGGCCGTACAGCGAGAGGTGGTCGAGATAGAGCGGAACGGTGGCCTTGCAGGAGAGGACGAGCCGTTTGGCCATGGCTGAGACGGCCTTGAGCGAGCGGGAGAGGGTGAGGAAGAGCATGAGGCTGCTCTGTGCGAAGTAGAATCGGAGGACGCAAGCCGATGAGAGTTCGAAACAGAATCGGTTGCTGCCGTCACCCCTAGGGCCCAAGAATGGCTCATCCAGATTCCAGCCCTCATAAAGCGTGAATTCCAAGAGCTGCGGCGTGAGCGTGGCGAGATACTTGACATCCACGTGACTCCAGTCCACGTGCTTGAGAGTCAGACTGCGCAGCACCTTGAGCTTCCCCGCCCACCCGTCCGAGAGAACCCACTTGCCGCGGCCCAGCTTCAGCCGCTGCAGACGTGGGCAGCCATAGTAGTGCGACCAGTGCTCCTGAACTGTGTAATCCCTATCGCCCTGCTCCACAGCATCCCCATTGCCCAGCTCCCTGTCAAAGAACTGGGAGTAGTCCACACAGCCGCGCAACTTGAGGGTGAGCGAGGTGAGGGAGGCGAAGGCCCACTCGTCCTGGGAAACAATGGTGTCGAGCTGCATGACATGCGTGAAGGTGAGGTTGAGGGACTTGAGACCGCGCTGGCGGAGGAAGAAGGCGACGCTCCTCTCCCACTGCGGGTGTAGGTTGTTGTAGACCAGAGCGATGGGGTGCTGGGCCTGCAGAGCAGAGAGAGACGGGAGAAGGAGTGAGGCACCGGAAGGTCGTTTGAATCCTAATCTGAAGCTCTATTCAAAGAAGGCAACGCTCCTCTCCCAAGTGCGAGAAATTTGTCCCTGACAGCGCGAAGAGAGTCAGGGAGGCGGGTGACTATGAAGTAGAGAGTGATGTACATCGGGGGGGGGGGGGTTTCCTGTCCAGGAACTCGGCTGGGAGGGCAGCGTGGTAGCGAGTGTCGCTAGTGCAAAGGTGGGTAACGAGGTCCTCGACTGTGGCAAAGGCTGACAGCTCGGAAAACAGATAGGGCAGTATAAGGCGGCCGAGAGCAGCAGTGGCAGGGGAAGAGTAACGAGCGACTATAGCGTCGTACAGGGCCTTAGCAGTCTTGTGCTGGCCAAAGTGAGCGCGTTCGGCTAACGGCAGGTGGTTGCGAACGGCTAAGCGAGCAGCAGCGTCATGGGTAAGCCACTGTGAGCAAGTCGCACTGTCAGCTGTGGCGGGAGGGGTGAGAGAGGCTCCAGATGTGTGGTCAAACAACGAAACGCTGTCTCTAGAATTGCTCAATAGGTACAGCTGTAAGTCGTCGAGCCACGTATCGAACTGGATCGGACGGCCCTCATGATTGAAGGTGAGAACACTGAGAGAAGCCATAGCGGGCAGAGCAGGGTGGCGCGCGATCAGCAGAGCAGCACGCAGGCAGGGCGGTGCGCGAGCACTAGGAAAGCGTGCAGGGCAGGGACAGGCGGCGCACGGCTAGGGCGGCGCGCGGCCAGGGCAGGGCAGGGCGGCGGCCAGCAGGGCGGCGCGTGGGCAGGGCAGGGCGGTGCGGCTGCCAACAAGGCGGCGCGCGGGCAGCAGGGCGTCGGCAAGCAGGGCGGCAGGGCGGGCAACAGTAGGGCGGCGCGGGGAGGGCGGTGCGAGCAGAGGTGCGGCTGCCAGCAGGGCGGCGCGCGGGCAGCAGGGCGCCGGCCAGCAGGGCTGCGCGCAGCAGTGCGGGCAGCAGCAGGGCGGCGCGAGCAGCAGGGCGGCGCGAGCAGCAGTGCGGCGTGCAGCAGGGCGGCGCGAGCAGCAGTGCGGCGTGCAGCAGGGGGGTGCGGGCAGCAAGGCGGCTCAGAGTAGGGCAGGGCAGGGCGACGCGCGGGCAGCGGTGCGGCTGCCAGCAGGGTGGCATGCTGCATGAGTTAGTCACCAGCTACAGGTTTCATTTCCTGCTCTTCTTCATTGCAGACGTCCTGGAGCAGCTGAACGTCCTGACCAAGACGTTCCAGCAGCGTGAGGTGAGCATGTGTATCTTGTCTCTTTTTGGCCTCATGCATTAGTGTTGTTTCTTACCCGCTTTGGTCCTTGTGTCCGCGGTTGCTGCTGCCTTATTCATTATTCTTACCAACTTCTTTCTTTCCTTGTCTCTGCCCTTACTAGCTTGAGTATGTAGTCGTTCATGCTCAGATCAGGAGGACCACCTCCTACCTGGAGAGTCAATACGTGGACTGTGGAGACGATTTTGGAGGTGCGTTGAGCGCGCTTGTCTCCTTTCATCACAAAGCATGGCCCCGATGGTGGATGCCCCAAGGCGACAGTGAAAGGGGTGGACTCACATGGCAGGCCGACAACACATGAGTTCGTCCTTCACAAGAATCCGAACGATGACTTCCCAACCATGGGAAGCCACGACGCCTGCATCGACCTGTGCACTGCGTTCACCGAGACCCTCGTGCGCAACCTCAACAAATGCTTCGAAGACTTGCAAGGCTTGTCTGGAGTGAGACTTTTCACTCCAGAAGAGTGGCCGCATGGGAGGGTGGAGCGATACAATCAGTGCCTCGAGTGGCTCAGGTCACTGGTAGCCCTGTTCAAAGCAAACAAGTTGGACATCATCCTGCCTGGTATGATTCTTGCTAACCTTGGATCCGTCTTTGCCTATCTGCCTATCTTGCCTATCTGCCTATCTTGCCTATCTGCTTGTCTTGCCTATCTGCCTACCTGGTATCTTTGCCTGTCTGGAATCTTTGCCTATCTGGAATCTTTGCCTATCTGGTATCTTCGCCAAATTGCCTATCTTGCTGAACCCTGGACCCTATGTCAGAATGTTATAGTGCTTACATTTGTGTAGGCTATAGTGGGGGTAGCCCATAAGGGGTACAACCCAATTAGGGTTAGTACTTGTACCCAACTCTTTCATAGTTCATTCATTCTCGTTAGCTGATTCTGACATGGTTTCAAAGCAGGTCCTTCGCTAGGACCATTTTTTCTTTCCTTGGGCCCACCACAGCACTACCCCGCTAGCCGCCCCTAACAACCCTCATACCACACCTGCTGCCCAGTGTGCCGCCCTCGTGCGGCCTGCCCGCCGACCGTAGGCCCATCGCCCCTAACCCGGCCCATCGCCCCTAACCCGGCCCGTCGCCCCTAGGCCCGTCGGCCCGGCCCGTCGCCCCTAGGCCCGTCGGCCCGGCCCGTCGCCCCTAGGCCCGTCGCCCTGGCCCGTCGCCCCTTCGCCCCGGCCCGTCGCCCCTAGGCCCGTCGCCCCGGCCCGTCGCCCCTAGGCCCGTCGCCCTGGCCCGTCGCCCCTACGCCCGGCCCGTCGCCCCTAGGCCCGTCGCCCCTAGGCCCGTCGCCCCTACGCCCGCCCCGTCGCCCCTAGGCCCGTCGCCCTAGCCCATCGCCCCTACGCCCGGCCCGTCGCCCCTAGGCCCGTCGCCCTGGCTCGTTGCCCCTACGCCCGGCCCGTCGCCCCTACGCCCGTTGACCGTAGGCCCGTCGCCCCTAGCCCCGGCCCGTCGCCCCTAGGCCCGTCGCCCTACGCCCCTAGGCCCTGGCCTATCGCCCGTCGCCCCTAGGCCCGCAATCGACGCCCCTACACCCCGGCCCTTCGCCCGTCGCCCCTAGGCCCGCGCCCGTCGTCCCTAGCCCCGGCCCGTCGCCCGACGCCCCTAGGCCCCGTCCCAACGCCCGTCGCCCCTAGGCCCGTCGCCCCTAGGCCCCGGCCCCGGCCCGTCACCCGTCGCCAGTCGCCCCTCGGCCCGTCGCCCCTAAGCCCCGGCCCGTCACTAGTCGCCCCTTGGCACCGGCCCTGCAGCCCGCGAGCCGCCATTGCAGCCCCGCGCGCCGCCCCTGGTGGCCTTCTAGCCGCCCCTGCTGCTCTGCTAGCCGCCCCTTGCGGCCCTCTCACTGCCTTGTGCTCTGCGCTACCCTGCTTCTCCTCGCTCTGCATGCTGTGCCACTATGGCTTCTCTTTGTGTCCTCGCTTTCGATCCTGAGGGCCGCCCTATCCAGTTTGACACGTGGCTCGACGACCTGCAGCTGTACCTACTGAGCTACTCTAGGGACAGTGTTTCGTTGTTTGACCACACGTTTGGCGCCGCTCCCGCCCCTCCCACCACAGCTGACAGTGCGACCCGCTCACAGTGGCTTACTCGCGACGCTGCTGCCCGCTTAGCCATTCGCAACCACCTGCCATTGGCTGAATGTGCTCACTTCGGAAAGCACAGGACAGCACAGGCACTGTACGACGCTGTCGTCGCTCGCTACTCCTCGCCTGCCACTGCTGCTCTAGGCCACCTCCTACTGCCCTAACTGTTCCTCGAGCTGTCCGCCTTTGCCACAGTAGAGGACCTAGTTTCCCACCTTCGCACTAGCGACGCTCGCTACCGCGCTGCCGCCCCAGCTAAGTTCCTTGTCAGGAACCAGCCACCGATGTTCATCACTCTCTACTTTGTAGTCACCTGCCTCCCTGACTCTCTTCGCTCTGTCAAGGACCACTTTCTCTCTCTCGACCCCACAGTCCTCACTATTGACCTCCTCGAGTAGCACCTCCTTGCAGCTGAGACTAGTGTAGTCGCTGTAGGTGCTGCTCGTGGCACTCCGCGCACGCCCTTCTTTGAGGGGTGCTCTCCCTCCCCCCTTGCCCCCTCCTACGCCTCTTGTGCTGATGTCGATGTCCCTGGTGCTGAAGACGCCGGGGCTGCTTCTGCTAGTGCGAAGCGCCGCAGCAGCAAGGGCAAGGGTGGCAGGGGTGGTGGCGGTGGCAGCGGGGGTAGTGGTGGGGGCAGAGGTGGAGGTGGAGGAGGCAGTGGTGGTGGTGGCAGCGGTGGGAGTGGTGGCGAGAGTGGGGGCTTTGGTGGCGGCAGTGGAGGCAGCGGTGGGAGTGACGGTAGTGGCAGCGGTGGGAGTGGTGGCGGTAGGACTGGAGCTCAGCATGGAGGTTCTGGAGGACGCCAGAGGCAGCGGCAGCAGCGTCGGAGCGAGACCCCGTCGCCCCAGCAGCTTCGTGAGTGGTTGTTTCAGCGTGGGGCGTCTGGGGGTAGTGTTATCTGCCCGTATGTCATTCGCACGGGTGACCGTGCTGGTCAGACATGCGGGAAGCCTCACACTCAGCACCGCTGCTTCTCCCGCCTCGACGACGCTTGGCGCGCTGAGTTTGATGACGAGGTCGAGCGCCTCCACTGGGCAGAGCTGCTTAGGTCTGGAGTTGCGATCTTTGACCTAGACTATGATGCAATCCTTTTTGCTATGTATGCTTTGTCTGCTTGAGCTGAAGGTGACTGTTACCGGTGTGTGCCGCCTGACCCAGGTATAGAGGCTACTGCTCTAGGTGCTAGTGAGTCTTTTCTCCCTCGTACTGCACCTGGTAAGGCCTTGCACACCTTTACGCTGGACTCAGGTGCCTCACGCTGTTTCTTTCGTGACAGCACCACCCTCACTCCTCTCCCTGCACCTGTCCTGGTCAGACTGGTTGACCCCTCCGGGGGCCCAGTCGTTGCCCGTTCCTCCACTGTTCTCCCGTGTCCGGCGGTTCCGTCTGGCTCACTGTCATGTCTTCACCTTCCTTCGTTCTCTATGAACTTGGTGAGTACCGCTGCCCTCCAGGATTCGATGGTCACTACCACCACTCCTGGGGGTCAGCGTGTGTCGATCTGCACGTGTACACGGACGGGTCGTCACCTGGCTACGTTCACTCGTCGGCCAGGGTCGAGTCTGTACACATTGGCTACCGAGCCTCCTAAGGTAGCTGTGTCTGCCCAGGTGTCCGCGTCAGGTCAGGTAGCACCCCCTTGCTCGTGTCGCCTCCTGTCGCACCAGACTCTCCTCTTGCACCACCGCCTTGGTCACCCCTCCCTGCCACGCCTGCGTGGCATGCAATCCCACCTACTTGTCTCTGTTCTTCCCAGGTCTCTGCCTCCCCTCCCGCCCTCGCCTGCCCCGCCCTGCCTTCCTTGCGTCGAGGGGCGGCAGCACGCCGCTCCTCACTCCTCCTCGTTTCCCCCGACGACTGCTCCCCTGCAGACTCTCCACATGGACGTGTGGGGCCCAGCCCGCGTCAGTGGAGAGGGCCGCGAGCACTACTTTCTGCTGGATGTTGACGACTACACGCGTTACACCACGCTCTTCCCCTTGCGCACCAAGGGTGAGGTCCCTAATGCTTTGATCCCTTGGATCCGCGCGGTCCGTCTCCAGCTAGGCAAGCGGCCAAGACCTTCGTGTCCTGCGTCTGCACTCTGACAGAGGTGGTGAGTTCTCCTCCGACCTCTTGCGGGAATTTTGTCGTGGGGAGGGCATCACACAGTTGTTCACGCTTTCGGCCTCTCCGCAGCAGAATGGGATTGCTGAGCGTCGCATTGTCTTAGTCATGGAGGTCGCTCGTACCTCCATGATCCATGCGGCTGCCCCCCATTTTCTGTGGCCGTTTGCGGTCCGGTACACTGCGCATCAGCTCAACCTCTGGCCCCGTGTCTCCTTGCCGGAGACTTTGCCGACACTGCGTTGGACAGTGGAGGTTGGCGATGCGTCGGTGTTCCAGGTCTGGGGCTCTCGTGCCTTTGTTTGCGATACGTCCGCGGACAAGCTCTCCGCCCATGCTATCCCCTGCGTCTTCCTTGGCTTTCCCCTTGAAGCGCCTGGCTGGCAGTTTTACCACCCCACCTCGCGCCGTGTCTTCTCCTCTCAGGACGTCACGTTTGACGAGTCGGTTCCCTTTTACCGTCTCTTACCCTACCGCTCTGCCCCTCCCCCGCCCCCGCCGCTCTTCCTTGCTCCTGGTCCAGGGTCCTGCTCCCTCAGGTGTGTCTCAGGTAGACCCTCTCCCGGGTGTTGTGCCTGCTGAGGTAGCTGGCGACTCAGTTGCTGCTAGAGGTGCTGCGTCTGGGGGTGTGGGGCCTGGGGGTGCGGAGCCTGGGGGCGTTGAGTTTGAGGGTGCTGGGTCTGGGGGTGCTGAGCCTTGGGGTGCGGAGCCTGAGGGTGCTGAGCCTGCGGGTGTGGCGACTGGGGGTGCTGAGTCTTAGGGTGCGGAATCTGGGGGTGTTGAGTTTTGGGGTG